GGCGGGCTTGGGCAGTGACGGGCTTGCTTAGGCAGCGATACCCGGCTGTGCGTGACGCCGTCTACCCTCCATTCGGGTCAAGTTCTCTCTGTTACCATCTAGGTTTGAAATTCCATTTATAATTGTTATCGTGGTTGATTTATGTGATTTATCTTTGTGATTATTGATTGTGATTTGAGGATAGTTGTTGAATCGAAAAGGGGTACTTCGCATGACTTAACCCAATCTATGTTTTTGGAGGTGTTCATGATGTTGTTATGGAAAATATGAATTAACAAACATCTTTTTTTGCTTTGAATGTATGGTGCTGGATTTTGTGGCCTACCCAATTGATTCATGTCTTGTGGACAATTCATGAATGTTTTAACTGTAATATTTTGGACCTGTTGTTGTGGCTACATTATTTTACTCGTGGTTTTGCTGCCTTTCTGGACTGCCCAGATTAGTGTACCATTGTGGGAATTTGCTTGTGCGAATTTGCCACCTTTGTGGAATGCCCAACTGATTGCATGGGTAGGTTTATTGCACTTAGAAGTTGTTGTTGTGCTGCTTCTATGGCCTTTGAATCACTGGTCTGGTGACTGTGGCTTGGGCAGTGGGTTTGTTTGTGCATTCAAATTACTAAGTTCTCCATCATTGTTGCTTGTACACTGTAATATAATATAATGACTGAATCTTATGGATGATGACACAGGTGACCATTCTCACACTATGAAAGAATCTCTTTGTTCATCGCGCTCCCCCTCATCCAAGGTTTTTGTCAAGTACACCAAAGCCTTCGGGTTACTGTCATCAGCACCTCTGCCGACAAAAAACAAGAGGCAATAGAACGTTTTTGTGTTGATTCCTTCTTGATCAGTTGTGACCCTGAACAAATGCAGGTAAGTTATGATTAATTTATTCATAATTAGAGAGTATTATTATTCATTTCGCTAACAGTTCTGATGATGATATGGTTTATAATTGGTTTTGGTATATATGGAAAAAAGGCTACAAAGAGCACACTTGAGGGGATAATAGACACAGTTTCTATAGTTCATCCTCTTACGCCACTACTAAGCTTATTGAAGACCAATGGTAAGCTTGTAAGCTTGTATTTGTTGGTCTCCCGGAGAAACCCCTTGACTTGTTGGCGTTTCCCTTGATCATGGGTATGTAATATTAGCCACCGTTCCATTCGAGTGTTGTACATATCTCTGCTCCGTCTTGGCATTGATCTAAAATGAACTAAATGACATTAATTTTATGTTTTGATTGTGGATCGCAAGAAGAAAATTGGTTGCAGGAAGTGGCATCGCTGGAATAAATTAAAGGAGATTCAAGACAACATAACATCACGCCTGATGTTGAGATTGTGCCGATAGACTATGTCAACACCGCCATGGAACGCCTAGCCAAAGCCGACGTGAAATACGGATTCGTATTGGATTTTTTCACAGAGGAATAGGATGGATTGAAAAGGTAGGGATGTAGAATATGCAAATTGTAAGAAAGATCATGTAAATATTAAATTATTAGATGTTAATAGTATTATAAATGTATGAATTTATATATTGTTCAATATATTGTATTTTTTGAATTTATATTTATTTGGTAATCAACACAAGATAACAACTCTAATAAAAAATTCAACTACCATTCAAACTAATAGTTTGGAGAGTATATGTACAACTACACAAACCTGCAGTATTAATAACATTTAGACAATCAAAACAAACAGTTGTTTGAAATACTACAAAAACAGTAGTTCATATTTGTAAAATACAATGCGAAATAATGGTTGTCTGAAGCAAATTTATTTAGTAATCTTTAGAGTAGTTGTCTCATAAACAATTCAACTACTGTTATAAAAGATAGTTTGAATACTTCAAGAAAAACTACAAAACACCATTGTGTTAATAATCAATATACAACTAAAAGAAACAGTAGTTTGAATATGAATAATGTTAGTAGTCCATATTCTAGAAATACAACAAAAGATAACAGTTGTCTAATGTCATTTTTGTTTAGTAGTCTTCCGAGCAGCAGTCTGATATATCTTTCAATTACTTTTTAAAGTAGATGCCTATATTATTGAACGACAACACCAAGAATTAGAAGTCTAAAGTTAAAAACAACAATAGTATTCATTATAGATAGACAACAAAAAATCATAATGAGAACTATAATTTTTTGTTGTCTATCTATAATGAATACTACTGTTGTTTTTGTTTAGTAGTCTGATGTCATTTTTGTTTAGTAGTCTTCCGAGCAGCAGTCTGATATATCTTTCAATTACTTTTTAAAGTAGATGCCTATATTATTGAACGACAACACCAAGAATTAGAAGTCTAAAGTTAAAAACAACAGTAGTATTCATTATAGATAGACAACAAAAAATCATAGTTCTCTTTAACTCTAAAGTTAAAAACAACAGTAGTATTCATTATAGATAGACAACAAAAAATCTTGTAGCGGCATTTGCATTCTGATATGCACATATTTTATACACTTTTTAAGAATGTTTTGAATCTCAATTGAATTTAATGTTTACATTTTATTTCAATTTTCCTTTTTATTTTGGTAGAGCGGTCCTATGCTTGGTTTTATATGTTTTGCAGGTATTTTGAGGGTATTTGGATGCATTGAGAATAAGTGCAAGAAAGGAAAATAAATATAGAAGTTCGGGACAAAATTAAATGGAAGAGAAGAAGAAATTAAATAAATATAAAGAAAAAGAAGAGGTTTGAACTCTAGACTTTGGGGCATAGAATAAAAGCTTTGACCATCGCGCCACAAGAGATCATATAGCTAATTACTGACTGAGAGAAATTATGTTCTTTTTCCAATTCGGCCCATCAATTGAGAGAGAAAAATGACAAAACAGAATACGTTGGGGAAGTTTCGAACACGAGTCTCACATCACGACAACCAGCTGCGTCTCCATGTGCGCTACTGTACCTGTTGACAATTGGTGCACTGTTTTTATATAATCCAAAAACACCTCCCTTCACTTCTTCTAAAGAGGATGGACTTCCTACTTCTCTCCTCTCTCCATTTCCGAAATTCTCTTCCTT